TTGTTGCTAAACTACGAAATAAATCATGGAGAATTAAAGATATTGCTTTAAAAGCCTAATATAGTTGAATAAGTGAAAGCTGATTCTTCAAGGAATTACTTCTTGGTTATTCTGAAAAACATGTGTCTGTTTCCATGGAAGTCCTCTCCAGCACTTGGAAATTTCAACATGGGGGGCATTTATGGCCATTGGAGAAACACCATCTAAGGCATCTTCAAAGTGGAGCTAAGTCCACCATGGCTCTTCATTTAAACATTCACTTTTTATCGTGGAGCTTGTCTTACAATCTTGGGGCCGTTATTCTTAAAACAAATGAAAGCCAGGCAGCCTGAGGATGCCAGGGCGGGTTGTAGGTCCTTTTCAGGAATGTGTAGCTAGAAGCAGGGGGCCCCCTTGCCACTCCGGCAACCAGAAGTGCAGCCCTCCTGCCCTCCACTTTCTAAGTCCACATCCCGGTCTTTTTCTGACGCATGGGCCCAGGCCCCGGCGTTCATGGAGCTGAGGATGCTGCATGCGTATAAAGCTAAGATGCCATTCACGGGCTGTCTCTCTATTCTGCTGGCTTCTCCATCCACGTTCTGTAATGTCCATTTTGTTTCCTGCTGTGTCTTTATTTCTGTTCCCTGAACTCCCCTGCAGCCTCATTCAGTGCTGGTATGTCGTTGGGCCATGTGGACAAGTGCGTGCTTAGATTTGAAAAGCTTTTCACTCTGTTCTGGGCTTTGTCTGTGCTATGTTTGCTGAGTTTCTCTTCCCTCCCCTTTGAAATACTGTTAGACATTATGTTCCGTGTCCACGACATATAAATCAGATTTGTGACCAGGAGGGCTACATATATTAAGTCTCTTTGAAAGGAATCTTTGCTGTTCTGCCGTAGAAATGATTTGCTCTGATGCAAATAATTGACACTTGCTGAAGAAAACCATAATGCTTATTGAAACTTGAGACAAGAACCAGCAATCCTGAAACTCTGTCATGAAATTTTAGATGCTGCCAACTTTAAGGTCCCCTCAAAATATTCATTTATATTTTGGAATGTAAGCACTTAGAATCCAGAAAACCAGGCAACACTCCAGCAGGTGCCCCCCTGCTGGTACACATGCTCCGCCATTTTGATTTACTTGTCTTGGGATTTGTCACTTGGGCTCTCGGGGTACCAGAAAGAAGATTGAAAGCAAGGACAGAGCGTTTGAATATATTAAGCACAGTAAGAATCCTGCAATTGATTGATCTCCCATGACTGAAAAATCGGCTTAGGAAGCTGATAGGGAAAGAGCTAAAAACGAAGGCTAAGAAATGTACATACACGGTGGCTTCTCAGCACAGTAGCTAAGATCACTAACAACTGAGCGTCAACCAATACAAGGAAGGACTTATTTAAGGAACAAAATGGCTATGAATGTGATAGATACAGTATTCTATGACATATACACTATTATCTGTAAACAGTATCTACATTTCCAAGCTGATGATGATAATGATGATGGTAAGATCTTCCGTATATGATCTTTCATCTGACACCATATATATTACTTTGCCTAGGTAATGCACTAAGTGTAAAAATAATGTCTTAGGGCCCTCCTCAGTTATTTCCTTCTAGAATGGAGTTAAAGTTCTACCACTTCAAGATAGGGTGTTTAAGTTAGAAAAAGGAAAAAGGACTCATCTTGAGAATTTTGCTTTTTCTTTTAAAATGCCAAAAAATGGGAGCACCTGGGTGGCTCAGTTGGTTAAGTGTCCAACTCTTAATTTCAGCTCAGATCTGGATCTCAGGGTCGTGAGTTCAAGCCCCGTGTTGGGCTCCACACTGGACACGGAGCCTACTTAAAAAAAAAAAATGCCAAAAATGTTTAATGCCTTTGGTATTTCAAGGGCTAAGAATTTGGTAACTAGCAACAGTACTCTGAGACCTTGTTCCCAGTGAGCCATTGTGATGTGTGGAAATCATATTGAGCAGAATCCCTTAGATGGGTGCGTTGTTGAGTCTCTCTTTGCCTAGTGCTTTAAAATGTTTTGTAGGAGGTTTTAATTGATTCTAGTATTAAATCTGTTTATAAGGACTTGAACATAGTAGTGAGGCTTTTTGTTTTTTTTTTTTAAAGCAACTAGAAAGATCAATGGTTGCTGAAATAGGCAGCCAAATAAAGAACTATGCCCAACAAGAAACAGCATTCAGCCAGAATTCGCCCATCGGGAATTCAGACAGTCACTCCCCAGCCTTTAAGAATCATCACCAATATCTGAGAAATGATGGGCTCCTACTGCCACTTGCCAGGAGAGCATCTCCATGATAGATTTTTAATACTTGGACAAATGCTAATTCTAATAACCTTAAACCTTTGCCTCCCATCTATGCAGATATTTTTGTGTGTGCATGCCACTGGCTAATCATCATCAAAACAAATTTAATGGAGTTTCATCCAATTAGATATTGTCACCAAATGTGAGAACATTTCCCTGAGATGTCTGATGTTCTTCTATGCACGCAGGAAGGGTAGAGTTGAAGGGCAGAGGGCAGTGTGGTTCAGAAGCAGGAGCATCCAGTGCTCGGCATATGCAGAAAGAGTTTTCAAAAGACAACCTCAAATAAGGCGAGAAAGCTGTCTTTCTAGACCTTCAATTTTGAGAATAGTTCACAAGAAATATTCTGTTTTTCAATTATGGATTACTCTTGTGAATAAGTTCTGATGTTTACAGGAGTAAAGCATTCCTCTGAAGTGAAATAGTTAAATTGGGGTTATTGAGGATCTAGTGGAAAAGTGCTGAAAAGGAGATGCCATTGTGACCCTGTTGCTCAATACTAGCATCTGTCTGCCTTTATTCAAGAGCAAGGTGAAGGTTAATCCTGCAGTGGTGCTTACTAAATTCGGCCATTAATAGCTCAAGAATTCACAAGTAGGCTATTTTCAGTCATTCATTTGCAGACATTTATAAGGCACCTGGTCTTGGCCAGGCACTATGCTGAGCACAGAAAGATGAAAGAGACCTAGTTCTAATTCAGCCTTAGATTTAAAACAAGATTTACTTCTACATGTAAACCACATTCTTCCTTCCCCTGCTTGCCTCTACCTGTGTCTTTTCGTTTTTTTGAGATGTGAACTAGTTATTTCTCATTAGAAGAGTGATAATAAATGAAATAACTTTTTTAAAAAAATTAACCTTTTAATAGATCAGCAGCTTGGGGCAAAGCATCATAATTTTTAGAGGCTAATATCTGATTTAAATAGTAAAGTCTACATAATAATGTATTGGAAGCTAGACGTGAAACTGACTCTTGAGGGAAAAAAGAGAAAAGCTTCAGAACACGATAACCAAAAACCTGGAATCTAAACTGAAGCCAGAAACAAATTCAGATCTCATTTGGAAGATCTTGGTGCCCATTCAGTATAGATGCGTGCTCTGGTTAACCTAAAAATACACATATTGAGAAATTAAAACTGTAGTAAGCGTGTTATTTTGAAACTTCAGCAATTGATATCTTTTATACTTTGTGGGCCGGATTTAGAACAGCTTGGCTTACTTGAAGAAACCAACTCGTGCTCTGTTCTCTGAAGATCTATGATTTATTTCATATTGTTAGCATTAATTGATAGATAAATTACACTTTATGAAAACTTACAACTTTTGTGCATCAAAGGGCACTGTCAAGATAGCGAAAGACGACCCACGGAATGAGAGGAAGTGTTTGCAAGTCATCTATCTATCTGATAAGGGACTTGTACCCGGAATATATAAAAAAGTCTTATGACTCAGGAACAAAAGCAGGCGCACTTTAGTTCATTAACTTTTGATAGTCCCCTACACCTTCTGGTGTATTCTTGGGGCAGATGTTTTCTCAGACATGAGGTAGGAGGATACTTCAGGGCAATAGCTGATCTCTGACAGCCCAACACAGGCCTCAGTTCATCCTGGTTGGAAGGGAGTGACATTGGCCTTGGCCACACTCAAGGCCAAGTGCCAGCTAGCTTCTCTGGCCCCTTCCCTGTTCTCTCCTCCAAGAACACCGTGCTGTCCAGCCACGGTGGCCAGGACTGTTGTTCCTACACACCATGGCCCTTCATTCCTCAGGACGTGCAAGCCCTCTAGAGTCTAGGCCTGCTCACACCTCGGCCCACCCCCCCACCTGGTATATTTACTCCTTGATGCCCTGCTCAGTCTAACATCTTAGCTCTCTGAAAGAATTGATGGCATTCTCGCCTGAGCAAGCATGTCCATATCATAGTCTGTCTCCTTAGGTAGCTTCTGAGACCCACCCCCCTCACGGGCAGGGATGACATCTCATTCATCTCCCTGTCCTCAGTCATAGCTCAGTGCACAGCCATGGTAGATGTCCGGATTTGTTTCACAGATGGAATTGTTGGACTGCGTGGAGCCTCAGTGGAGCCTTGGAAGAGGCAGGTTGGAGAGAGGTCCCAAAGTCCCTGGGAGAAAGGGCCTGACTGTATGGGATATATTGCACAGTGAGGAAGCAGAGCATTTGCTTCAAGTGCAGGCACTTTGCATTGCTAAGGGGAGGGACTAGGTGATCTCACAGGCTCCCAGACATAGCCTTCCATTTAGAGAAATCTACTCCAGCCTCTGCCATCGTGCCCGAAAGTGACTGTTACTTGGGCTTGCATATCCCGCCCCTTCACATGCTTGGGATTTAATGTCTGACAACTGACCCTGAATCATTAGCAAGTGACCTTCCGTGACTCTTAATGTACTTTCCATCTAATCAGTTTGCTGCCCGCTCACAGCCTTCAACCGCATGCCATTGGAATGACTCCTCCTACCGCTAGCTGCTTTTAACCCAGTTCCACGCAAACTCGAGGCTCTCCTGCGGAAAACTAAACCTTATATCACCTTGTGAGCCAAGTTGATAAATTGAGTTTGTTTCTTTTGTTTCCCCTTTTGGATGTACCTCCTTCCGGTTTGTTTTGAATTTTTATTATGCTTGCTTTGTTTTCTTTATTGCTGTCCCTTCTCTTATTTTGTTTTCTCCATTCTTCTCATTGGAGGCAATGAGCCGTCCAGCGGCCGGAACTCCCCTCTCCCTTACCGGCCAGACAGTCGTCCTCTCACTCCAACCTATGCCCAGGCCCCTAAACATTTCCATGTTCCAGGTAGGAGCTGACACGGTCTTTGTCTGGGTGTCCTGTCACGGTGTAGAATGTAGCCCTGTTACCTGTCTCGTCTCATTCCTCACGCTTTCTTCATCGGGATGCACACAGTCGACAAACCCTAAATTGCACGATCTGACCCAGAGGGCCTTTCAGAAGTTTGGGATGTGAAATGCCAAGGATTGTATGGAAGGTTTAAGTTTTCTCAAAATTTTTGAAGGGGGGTGGGAAGCAGAGAGTGAAGGAAGGAGGGTTGAGTTGCTTTGTTTTGTTTTTATAAAGATTTTGATTTTACCTGTATATGAGTGCCCTTTGAAGTTATCACTCTGTGGTTTGGTGTCATTGACTAATTATCACAATGACAATCTACTTATCTTCTCATCCTTGAGAATGAACCACAGCATCTCTCAAGAGTACTTTTATTTTTTTCCTGTTTGTCTCCAGTGTGGAGATTCTTTCTATGGACTTTTCAGAGAAGTATAAAATTGGATCAATTGGTTGGTCCTTCTGCAATGTATAACCAACTGACTACCTTCTTAGCCCACAAAGATATCTTGCAATTTAGGCTTGGTGCTGTAAGCTTTGCTGAAGTCATAAGCATTTGCTGTCACGGTACAAATAGTAATTTGCCATCAAGAACTGGAAAACTCAGAACCCATCAATATTTTAATGTTTAGGTCAACTCAGTTTTTAAGGGCAAGATTGGCTATCAGAGGTCACGATATTTTTTTTTTCCATTGGAAGTACATTGTTTTGTTTCTTTTAAGCTCCTGAAAGTGGTTTAATAAATTACCTATTATTAGGACACATATTTGGAATCTGTAATAGTTTTTTTTCTTTTGCATTCCAAACTTACCTAATAAAATAGGAAAGTTCAGTGAGATTCATACCGCTAAGATAGAACTGCCTTTTCAAATAAAGCTTCACTGAACCTTGAAAATCAGTGTTGTACATTTGCAACCTTTTTGCGTGAAGAATGTCCCCACCAAGATACGGTGCCCAAGATTCGGGGGAAGCAGACCTTTTGAAATTTCCTGAGTATTTGCAGTCAAAGCAAAACTGTAGCATTATCAAATGGGGTCCTGTATAAATAAATGAGTAACATTCAGCATCTCTTTTCCTTCCTTTCTTTTTTTTTTTTTTTAATAAATTTGACCTATACAAGTTAGGATCCTCTCAAACATTCTGTCAGCACGTCAGACAAGCCTTGCACATAAAAACTGTTTCTATGTTTTAAAAGACTACTCTTAATTATATTACATTGCGTTCCACTGTTCCACTCATTAGTTGAAAAGAAATTGAGCCCCTGGTATCTACTGCGAGCTCAATTTCTAGACAGTAGCAATTTGGGGACCTTCCCCAAACTGGTTATGTCTTCCTCACCACTAGATCCCGTCCTTCCACTGCTTCCATTTCTTCCTGTTTTAATCACACTTTTAGTGAAGTACGTATTTGCAATAAATGGCTCATGAATTAGTTACATCTCTATATATCCTAAAATGTATTACAAAGGATTCCATATCACTTGTCTGTAGTAATTCACTCATTCCTGGAACTTCTTCCCGTAACTTCGATCTTTGTAATACAAAAGTTAACCTTCCGGGTTGTTTTTATTCAAGAGTCTTCAGTTTGGTTTGCCTCTCGGTTGATCTGTTTTTCCCATCGCTGAACCGGTTCCCATAATCACACACCTTTGCTTTTCATTTCCACAGATCAAGGGATCAACATTTACCGAAAACCACCCATCTACAAACAGCATGGTAAAACCCGCTTTCCTCCGCATAGCTTTTAAGTAGCGGTGCCCGCAGAACTTTTTGCTGTCCTCTGAAAGGCTTTTCTGCTGCTGCTTTTGAGAATCAAAGGGGGGCGCCCAGCGTATTATGCCTTTATGGGTTCCTAAGATGAAATTATTGTGAGATTGGTTTTCCTAGAAAGAGAACGCTTAGCTTGGTTAGGAAGCTCCCAGGAATTCACAAACACCTTTTTTTTTTTAGCATCAAATAATTTAACCAGCCTCTATAATAATTGGGATGAGCTTCTAATTAGTTTAATTAAATTCGTGAAGGCCAGCTACCTAGAAAAATTAACTGGACTAAGCCTACATCAACTCGACTGTCCAATTCCCCAGTTTCTTATGGGTATGCAGATGTCTGTGCCTTGGGGTGGAATGGACAGGACACACTCCCAAGTCCTGGCCTTTCCCTCGATGGTTCTATGATATCATGGACACAATTACTCTGTCCCTCAATTTTCTCATAGGCAACAACCAGTGAGTTAGGCCAGCTTGTCTCTGAAATCCCTGCAAACTAAAATCACTAACATGGATTTATAATTGTGTCTTCCTTTTCTGGAAATAAAGAATTTTTAAACCCAGGAAATCACATTACCATAGGTAAATCACATTTCCCTCCACCATTTTTAGGTCTCTGTAAATTAGGTGCTGTAAATCTTTGTGAATGGATAGAAAGCCAATACTGGTCTTCAGGTGATTTCAGAAAATCGTACACAAAATGTGCCTGGAAATTTGAAGGCTGCTTTTAAAAAATCTAGTTGCCATTAATGAGTCCTTAAGGATTAGGATGACATCAAAAGCAAAGACAGTGGAAAATGCACAAGGAAAAAAATTTAGGCCAATATTCTAGGGGGAAGAAAGACAATGTCCGTATTGTAATGGTTCTAGAACTGTGATTTTTTTTCTTTTCTTTTTGAAGATTTTACACCATGTGCTTGCTTTTTTTTAAGTTTGTTAACATTGTTTTTGTTTGTTTTTTTATGGTTTAATGTCTTCTCACCCACTCATTAACATGTGAATGTTTACTGACTTCACCAATTCTAATGCGTAAGTACTGCTTGAAGTCATGCTTTTTTTTTTCTCTAAATTTAGGAGTGAGACTCCAAGAGTTTGGTTTATCAATGTAGAAACTGTTTTTATTACTAAAATCTCTAAGGCCCTGCCTCTCTAAGCAAAAGTAATCAAATAATTAAGATTTAAAGAGAGTAGATCGTGTTAGCTTATTTATTTGAAAGAGACTGGCTTTTTTTTTTCCTGAAATGCTCTCTGACTTGACTCTTTCTTTGTCATCATTAAGAGTATCTCAGTCAGAGTGCCTTCCCGAAGGACATTGTGCAAAAGAGCAGTTCCATGGGATAGAACAAGATGGCATGCCAAAAACGGGTGTCTGGGCCCCCGAAGCATTTGGAAAATGCTAGATTTAAATAAAGTCACACTTTTCTTTTTTTTGTAATGCAGAACATCTCCGTCTTTCAAATGCTAACCCATGTTGTCCTTCTTTAAGAAGAAGATGTCCTTTGGAGTGTTTTCCAGGCTGAATGTTTAATTTTTTTCTCATGAGGTTAAAGAGTCCGAGAAACACTACTCCATGCTTGGCCAAGACTTCACCCCTTATGAGTCTATAGGGTGACCTTGGTCAAGTCGCTTCAGGAAACCGAGACCCAGAAGGTTACTACAAGAATGGGGAATTCGAGCTGAGGTTTCAAAAAAATTATTTCCAGATTTTAAAATATGTGAGCCCAGGAAGTGGGGAGAGTTTTATTTAAAGCGTTCTAACTCTATTTTGAAATGTTTAGTTACATCCCAGGCCAGTCTGCCAAATTAGCCAGAATCAGGGTCTGACCATTAAACCTGGTTTGTTTTGTTCCAGCTCTGTGATTAGATTTGGAACTCTAAGCCAGGAACTCCTCTAAGCAGAGCCATCAAGAGCCCTGTGAACTAAGGTCCTTGCTAGTCTGGCTTTTGTTGTTTTTAAAGTTGGATGACTCACTTGTATGTGCAGACCCTTGAGGAAAACAAGGAGTGTTTTGCATATATAAGGCGTCATGTTGAATTCCTACAAGCTGAGTGCGGATTTTCCCATTGCCATATTTCCTAGGACTCAAGACACATATATAATATGTAAGGATTAGAATGAACTGGACAGATGATGGCTAAAATGAACAAACACAAATACACAAAGAGACAAAGCCAGCCCTCTCCTGACTAACAACTATAGTCAAATGACAATGTCATGTTTTTAACTTAGTTCTTTAATTTCAAATTGCTAATTCAAATTTCTAATTACTCTTGAAGAGTGTTATCTGATGGAACTTTCTCTGATGATGGAAATGGTCTACCTTGGTGCTTCCAGTATGGTAGCCATAAATCACAGGTAGCTACTGAGCACTTAAAATGTAGCTAGTGCAACCAAGGGATGGAAGTTTAATTTTACTCATTTGTTGGTTTCATTTAATTTAATTAATTGAAATTTAAGTAGCCATGTGTTGCGAGAGCTAGTATTGGACAGCCCAGCTCTGGAACAAGGCATTTCAGATATCGAATGAAGTTTTGCTTCCTGCAGAACATAAAGAAAAGGAGTTGTCTCTAGGCACCACTGAGTGGCTGGGCAATTGATACTGGTCATAAACAGCTTTCTGGAGTTGAAATTTTTGCCAAAAAACAAGAAAACTGTGTAAGTGGGTTGTACCACCATGGCCTTGCAGACGGATAGCTAAGCTCCCCCTGATTCCCACCTAGATGCAGCTGCCTTGGCAGCCCAGAGCAAGTCTTCAGAAGATATCATCAAGTTTTCCAAGTTCCCAGCAGCCCAGGCTCCAGACCCCAGCGAGATACCAAAGATTGAGACGGACCACTGGCCCGGTCCCCCCTCACTTGCTGCCGTAGGTATGCAACTACTACAGCTAAGCCCCATGGACAAATTGGTAGGAGGTTGCAAAATGAAATGCTTTCCAAATATGCAAGAAAATGTGTCCTATTGTAAAGACTTTTAAGAAAATATGACGAGAGGCAGAGAAAAGCACTGAGGGAGTAGACACTTGTGTGCAAAATGCTTCAAAATTACAAAAACCCAATCACCAGAGCCTTGCTCTAACCAACCCACTCAGAGGCAGACAGAACTGGTCTAAAACGGATGGTTAGCATGGACTCTCAGGAGTTATTACTGCAAAATCAGTAACTCTTGAAACAGTTGAACCAGAGCCTCCTGCCAAGAACATTGTTCTGTCTAATTAGAGTCTGGTGGGCAGATTTACTGAGTGTCCACAGAGGCGTGACTTCTTTCAGTTAAACTTGTTTTAGACTACTTCGGGGTTGTAATGACAATTCTCTTAACAACCAGTCTTAACATAGAAGCCCTTGCACCTTTCTTGCGAGATCACGTTCTCCATCACTAAGAAGGGCTGACACAGAGTCACAGATGCTCTGAAATACTACTCGTGTAAAGCTATTTGATTTTCCATCTATCATTTCCATGAAGTCTGTGCTAAAATGTCACATTTGAGCTGTTTCATTCTTTGCTTTGAACCACAGATCTTTGCTTTAGGACTGTGTCTGTGTTTTTACTGTTTTGTCAGTTGTGAAATCATTTGGCCTAAAAAGTCATATTAGCAAATTCAGAAGCTAATACTGAAAATTGAGTGAGTCAGCTTTACAAAGATATAACTATCTCATCACATTTCTGTTGACAACCTTTTAAAAAAGGCCTTCAATTTTCCAAATTTCCACATTTTCTTCATCATGCTTTTTCTCAAGTTATTTTCTGGAATAACTTCTACAAACAATGTAAGTGGATTTTAAAGCAATCTATGTTTATCCAAATACTTGAAGGAAAATCTACTTCCCTGGGTTTATGATTTGCAAGTACTCTATTGTGTTGCCTTAAGATTTATCTGATTCTTGTAAACTTGTGTCTTTTAGTTTTTATTAGTGGAGATTAAAGAGAGAGCATTCACAGTGACATTTATGATTTTAGGAACCAAGAATCAATCATCAGCTTTTCTCGGCCATACTATGCCCCACGGGCAGTTCCTGGAGCCTTTGGGGTTCCTAGTTCAGTCTTGCTGCTTCAGGGGGGCATAAACAGCTAAATTTAGGGGAAAGGTAGAATTAATACTTTGTTGTTAAAATCATCATCACCAAATGGTTTAAAGCTTTTTGGGTTCCAAAATGAAGAAAAATTCTGGCCCATTAATCAAAATGATAAAAACTGAGACCATTAGTTCAAGTTTATTTTGATTAGATTAGCAAGCTTTCCTGTTTCCTCCCACAGCCAGATTAATCCAAGCAATTTAGGAAAACAATAATTATCTTAATTTTACAACCATTCAGACAGATTCCTCCCTTTCACTCCCTGACTCCCCTTTTCCCAGAAGCTTAAAAACTATAAACGATCTGCTAGATTGGACTAAAACAACTCACTTTTTAAGGGTCTTAACACTATTCATTGACCCTTCAGTATAAAACTCTTTTGTGACCATTTTTTCAAAGGACTGAGGGAAAGAAACATTAGAGACTCGTCTCTTAAAATAAAAATAAAAGCATGCTTCTTAACCAATTAAGGGCAGAAGATAGGGTGACTGTTATGAGGATAAGTCTAAATATTCAGAAAAAGAGAAAACTAGAAGATTGCAAAACGTGTCACAAGGGAGTGACTGTCTTACCTGTTCAATGGTCATGTACATGAATTTGGGTTCCTCCCTGTTTGAAAGCTAACCTCAGGGACATCCAAAGAATAACCCTAGACACCCCTCCCCGATAATACAGAGGGCTCTGGCCAGTGGCCCGTGGGATGACTTAGACCCAATCATAACAGCTCACGGAGTCCTAATTGAGCAGGTCAGTTGTTAGGAGGCCAAAATTCATGACTTACTGGATCCCACATTGAATTGGCCTGAAACCCGAAACCCACCAGTAGGGCTGAATTGGTGGTAGGCTCTTTTTGCCTCGCGGTGTTCACGAATGTTGAAGACCACTGCTGATTTTGCCAGCCAGCCAAGTTGAGCACAGGTGGACTAGTCCTGTAAGATCCCCTTGCCGTGGGGCTAACGTGAGAAGTTGTCTTTGCTGTGGAATTAGGAGCCGACATGAGACGCAGATCTAGCGGCAGAGAGGAAGATGAGGAGGAGCTTCTGAGGCGCCGTCAGCTGCAAGAAGAGCAATTAATGAAGGTTTGTCCTTAAACTACTTTGCTGCAGTCTTCAGTTCAGTTCCCTAGATCTGGATTTTTTGGATGGATACCATGGGCAAGCCACCAAGTGAATGAGAGGCCATCCCAGCCCTCGAAGGGCTGGAAATCCAGTAGGCGAGAGAAGACAGGCCTCTAGTGACCCGAAAGCAGGGTACTGAGTACTTAGTGGGTTCCAGAAGAGATGGCCTGGAAGCTGGAGGTCAGAGGGATATGGAATGTTCGAGCTTCTGCGAGGAGAGCCAGACCGCGTGGGGTATATGTGTGCAGCGCATGTTCAAAAGGGCCAGGTGGAGCCAAGCTCTTCACCCACGTGGTGCGACACCTGCCTTCCCTCGTGCAGGGTCTGCTGAAGGAATTCCCTTGGGATTATTTCTCCAAGGCTTTCCTCAGGACTTGTAGGACCTTGTGTGTCTATCTGAGCTAGGATGGAGGGGATAAAATGGACTGCCACCAAGACGTCCTCATTATACCCACCCCACCGCACCCCCGTCACAGCATCCCAGACCAAAAGAAGGATAGTCCATTATAGCCTGGGGTAGAGGGAGCCAGGACATTATATACTCTCCCACCAATAAGGGACTGATGAATCCCTTCACATGACATTTTCCAAAGCTACGTAATCATATGGGAAATGCACATGATACTAGTTATATGGAGGGAGAGGATACAAAGTTGCATTTATAGCATGATCCCACTTTTGTATGATATGTGCAGAGAAAAATGCTGGATGGATATAAATCAAAATGTAAATGGTGGTTATCTCTGAGGGGTGGATTACGGGTTAGTCTTCTTTCCTTCTAGATTTTCTAAAATCTGTGCAATGAGCATGTGTTCTTCTTGTTTTTAAACAAATCAATCTAATTTCTTTTTAAAGGATACTATCCCCAAACTCCCCTTTGCACATCAAAAATCTCCACACAGTCACACATGCCTCCTGTGGTCACCTGCCGGCACGTCCCGGGAGGGCAAAGGAGGGAGAACATTTTTCTGACATGGAGCTTGGCCCATGCTTGGCTGAGAGGGGTTCAAGGTCCAAAACCTGGCCTATCCCTTGAGGAACCACCAGGCTCTGGCACCAAATGCGTTCAAGCCACTCCACGGTCAGGAACTTTTTGCAGGACCTTCTAAAACAGAAACTGCCATTCTGATGATAATTGTGGGCTTCACTCTCATCTTTCTTCTCTTTGTGATAGCTCAACTCAGGCCTGGGGCAGTTGATATTGAAAGAGGAGATGGAGAAGGAGAGCCGGGAGAGGTCGTCCCTGACAGCCAGTCGCTATGATTCTCCCATCAACTCAGGTGAGCAGCAGACCCACCACATTCTCCCGGCCAAGAGCCAGCCACTGGCCTGCTGGGAGCCCGTCTGGACTGTTCCAGGAGAGGCGGGGCCATTTCTGGTGGAACCTACAGAGTGTTCTACATGAGCAGAAGTATGAGAAACATACTGCCTGTCAACTTAGCTTATGAAGATGCCATAGTTCTTCCTTAAATGTATATTTTCTTCATGTTGGAGATGGGGGAGTCCTTGGATGATTTTAGGGTTTACTACATGCAAGCACTTCTGCTAGACATTGTTCCATTTATTTCCACAACATGCCAATGAAGTAGGTGATATTATTCCCATTTTGTAGATCAGGAGACAGGTATAGGAAGTTTAAGTAACTTACCCAATGTCACATTATTAATAACTAGCAAAACTAGGATTCAGGAGTTGAAGCATTATGACCATAGAGCCCACATGCTGAACTGGAATGCCCTGCGACCTCTCCTTGATGCCTCACTGGCATCGATCTTGGATTGGTGGTTTACTAATCTTTAGAGTTCCTTCTGATCCTGTAGTTCTGGTCTCTAAGAATATATAGTACAGTATCTACATGAGTCAAGAAACAAAGACTTACAAAGATGAAATACCAGGCCAAGGTGTTAAGCTGTGGAGCCAGAATCCAAGCCCAGGTCTGCTTCCCCCAAAGCTCCGCAGTTTATGTGATGTCATGCTGTTGATTAATGGGATGTCCTATCCCATGCCTCTCAGGAACTCTACTGTGGTGAGCCAGGAGAGCATGACAACATACATGGTTGGCTTTCAGGTCAGTTATTGCCACTATACCAATTGGAGCATGAGCTTATGCATCCACATGGCCCTGGCTTTCAATCATTGCTTAGCTATTTATAAGGTGAGTGACCTTGGACAAGGTACTTAACTTCTGTTAGCCCCTATTCCTTCTCCTGTAAAATGGAAATAATATAATAGTGCTGTTAGGGTTGTATTGAGGATTTGGAGGTAAAGAAGTGCCAAGCACCTCTCCCTTCTCCACTCACTAACTGCATCACCCAAATGTGGTGGCCTTTCATGAACATTCGAGCCCAATATTTTTTGGGTTTTTTTTTTTTTCTATTTTTCTATGTATCTTCTATTCAGTAAGGTGGAAGATGCATTGCCAGTTTCATTAGAGAATTGGGCTTCTGGGGGCACCTGGCTGGCTCAGTTGGTAGAGCATGCGACTCTTGATCTTGGGGTCATGAGTTTGGGCCCCACGTTGGGGGTAGAGTTTACTTTAAAAAAAAAAAAAAGCTATTAAGAATTGGACTTCTGATTTCCTTTTTTTACCTTTTCTCATTCAGCTTCACATGTTCTATCATCTAAAACCTCATCTCTCCCAGGCTATGGAAAAAATGGGCTTCATCGGGTAAGATTTCTCAATGAATTGTTCCTAAGTTGATTCCCTCTTCAGTCCTGGTTGAAGTGCTAATATACTGTCTGAATATGTCTGATAATATGATCTCAGTATTAGAATATAATGAAAATTGTAATTCCCCTGATCTGGCGAGTCACTTTGAGTTACAGGCAAAATAAAATATTTCTATTGAGAGAAAGAGAAATTGACTTTAGATGAAAGAATAGCCTGTATCAGCTTGTGGGAAGGCTACATTAATTAATTGTGTGGCAAACATTTCCACACTCAAGCTACAAGTAATGACTTGAGCCCTCATCTCTGCTGTAAAAAGATCGGGAACATTTATGGCTATCACCCTCCCCAAAAACCGTAGAACAAATGCAATTGCATGGCTAGCTGCATGGAAAAGTGTATTTTTATTTATTGGCAAAAGATAACTTGCTTACCCAGCGCCTGCTGTCATTGGGTGCACTGCAAAAGACAAAGAGGTTTCACAATAGTAGAAGACAAATAATGAAGGTCCAGGAATTCAGCTTGGGAAGAAATTCTGAGGATTTTGTAAATCCTTTCTTCCTTTTCACATGTCTCCAAAACCATCACTCTGGAATAGATTGTCTAATGATGTGTTCTTTCTCATTTCAGCCTGTTTCTACAGACTTTGCTCAGTACAACAGCTACGGGGATGTCAGTGGGGGAGTGCGAGGTAAGGCCCGTGTGCCTGGGCTGCGGACTGACTGGCTGAGATTGAGATGAGACTGTGCAGTCATATCTACATTGGCTGGGTTCATGCTGTCTGACATCCGAAAGCCAGATCACAGCTAGCCTCTGTGAGCTAGTGGAGCATGCATTAAAATCGCAAAGCAGGAGATAGTCCAAGATGGTGCAGAAGTAGGAGACCTTAGTTTTGTTGGGTCCCAGGAATTCAGCTAGATAGCTATCAAATCACTCTGAACACCTGCGAACTCAACCTGAGAGCTAAGAAAATATCTGCAACTCTACAAATAGAAAAGTGACCACTTTCTGCAAGAATGACAAGACGGAAAAATTCACCTCAGAGAAGAGAACAAGAGGCAACACTGACCACCAGTGACCTAATCAGTATGGATATAAGTAAGATGTCAGAACTAGAGTTCAGATTAATGATTATAAAGATACTAGCTGGGCTTGAAAAAAGCATAGAAGACACTAGAGAATCCCTTTCTGGAGAAATAAAAGAACTAAAATCTAATCAAGTTGAAATCAAAAAGGCTATCAATGATATGCAATAAAAAATGGAGGTTCTAACAGCTAGGATAAATGAGGCAGAAGAGAGAATTAGTGATATAGAAGACAAAATGATGGAGAATAAAAAAGCTGAGAAAAAAGAGATAAACAGCTACTGGATCATGAGGGGAGAATTTGAGAGATAAGTGATACCATAAAGCGAAACAATATTAGAAAATTGGGATCTTAGAAGAGGAAGGAGAGAGGGGGGCAGAATGTATATTGAAGCAAATTATAGCAGAGAACTTCCCTAATCTGGGGAAGGAAGCAGGCATTCAAGTTCAGGAAGCACAGAGAACTCCCTCAAAATCAATAAAAATAGGTTAACACCTTGACATACAATAGTGAAACTTGCAAATCTCAGAGACAAAGAAAATCCTGAAAGCAGCTCGGGACAGTGGGTCCATAACCTACAAGGGTAGAAACATTAGACTGGTAGAAGACCTATCCACAGAGACCTGGCACCCAGAAAGGACTGGCATGATATATTCGGGGTGCTAAATGAGAAAAATATGCAGCTGAGAATACTTTATCCAGCAACGCTTGTCATTCAAAATAGGAGAGATAAGAAGCTTCCAGAACAAACAGAAACTAAAAGAATCTGTGATCACTGAACCAGCCCTGCAAGAAATATTAAAGAGGATCCTTTAAGTGAAGAGAGAGCCCAAAAGTAACATAGACCAGAAACTAACGAGACAATATACAGAAACAGTGACTTTACAGATAATACAATGGCACTAAATTCATATCTTTTAATAGTTACACTGAATATCAAAGGGCTAAATGCCCCAATCAAAAGACACAGTGTATCAGACGGAAAAAGAGCAAGACCCTTCAATATGCTGTCTGCAAAAGACTCATTTTAAACCCAAAGACACCTCCAGATTGAAAGTGAGGGGGTGGAAAACCATTTATCATGCTAATCGACATCAAAAGAAAGCTGGCGTAGTAATCCTTATATCAAACAAATTAGATGTTAAACCAAAAACTATAATAAAAGATGAGGAAGGACACTATATCCTAAAGAATCTATCCAATAAGAAGATCTAAGAGTTGTAAATATGTATGCCCCTAAAATGGGAGCAGCCAATTATATAAACCAACTAATAACACAATTAAAGAAACACATTGATAATAATACAATAATAATAGGGGATTTTAACACCCCACTCACTGCAATGGACAGATCATCTAAGCAGAAGATCAACAAGGAAACAAGGGCTTTGAATGACACACTGTACCAGATGGATTTCACAGATCTATTCAGAGCATTCCATCCTAAAGCAACAGAATACACATTGTTTTTGAGTGCACATGGAACGTTCTCCAGAATAGATCACATACTGGGTCACAAGTCAGGTCTTAGCTGGTACCAAAAGATTGGGATCAAACTGGAAGGTGTTATGCTGAGCGAAATAAGTCAGTCAGAGAAAGACGTGTATCATATGACCTCACTGATATGAGGAATCCTTAATCTCAGGAAACAAACTGAGGGTTGCTGGAGTAGGGGGTGGGGTGGGAGGGATGGGGTGGCTGGGTGATAGACATTGGGGAGGGTATGTGCTATGGTGAGCACTGTGAATTGTGCAGGACTGCTGAATCACAGATCTGTACCTCTGAAACAAATAATGCAATATATGTTAAGAAAAAAAAAAAGAAAAAGATAGTAAGAGGGAAAGAATGAAGGGGGGTGGAATCAGAGGGGGAGACAAACCATGAGAGACGATGGGCTCTGAAAAAACAAACTGAGGGTTCTAGAGGGGAGGGGGGTGGGAAGATGGGTTAGCCTGGTGATGGGTATTAAAGAGGGCACATTCTGCATGGAGCACTGGGTGTTATGCACAAACAATGAATCATGGAACACTACATCAAAAACTAATGATGTAATGTATGGTGATTAACATAACAATAAAAAAGTAAAAAAAAAGATTGGGATCATTCCCTGCATATTTTCAGACCACAATGCTTTGAAAACTTGAACTCAATCACAAGATGAAATTTGGAAAGAACTCATCCTACTAAAGAATGAATGGGTCAACCAGGAAATTAAAGAATTAAAAAAATTCATGGAATCAAATGAAAATGAAAACACAACTGTTCAAAACCTTTGGGATGCAGCAAAGGCAGTCCTTAGAGGGAAGTATATAGGAATACAAGCCTTTCTCAAGGGCTCAAATATACAGCCTAAACTTACACCTAAAGGAGCTGGAGAAAGAACAGCAAATAAAACCTAAATCCAGCAGGAGAAGAGAATTAATAAAGATTTAGAGCAGAATTCAATGAAATAGAAACTAAAAGAACAGTAGAACAGATCAACGAAACTAGGAGCTGGTTCTTCGAAAGAATTAATAAGATTGATAAAGCCCTGGCCAGACTTATCAAAAAGAGAAGAGAAAGGACCCCAAAAAATAAAATCATGAATGGAAGAGGAGAGATCACAACCAACACTGAAGAAATACAAACAATTATGAGAACATATTAGCAACTACATGCCGACAAATTAGGCAATCTGGAAGAAATGGGTGCATTCTTAGAGATGTATAAACTACCAAAACTGAACCAGGAAGAAATAGAAGACCTGAACAGACCTGTGACCAGCAAGGAAATTGAAGCAGTAATCAAAAATCTCCCAACAAACAAGAGTCCAGGACCAGATGGCTTCCCAGGAGAATTCTACCAAACATTTAAAGAAGAATTAATACCTATTCTTCTGAAGCTGTTTGGAAAAAATAGAAAGGAAGGGAAAACTTCCAAACTCCTTCTGTGAGGCCAGCATCACCTTGATCCCCAAACCAGACAAAGATCCTGCCAAAAAAGGAAGATGATAGACCAATATTCCTAATGAACATGGATGCAAAAATTATCACCAAGATACTAGCCAATAGGATCCAACTAGCCAATAGGATTATTCACAATGACCCAGTGGGATTTATTCCTGGGGTGCAAGGGTGGTTCAACATCCACAAATCAATTAGTGTGATACATTACATTAATAAAAGAAACAACAAAAACCATATGATCCTCTCAATAGATGCAGAAAAAGCATTTGACAAAGTATAGCATCCCCTTTCTTGATTAAAACTCTTCACAGTGTAGGGATAGAGGGAATATACCTCAATATCATAAAAGCCATCAATGAAAAACCCACAGTGAGTATCATTCCCAATGGGGAAAAACTGAGAGCTTTTCCCCTAAGGTCAGGAACACAGCAGGGATGTCCACTCTCACCACTGTTGTTCAACATAGTACTAGAAGTCCTAGCCTCAGCAATCAGACAACAATAACAAAAATAAATAAAAGGCATCCACGTCAGCAGAGAAGTCAAACTCTCACTCTTTGCAGATGACATGACATTGTATGTGGAAAACCCAAAGACTCCACCCCCAAATTGCTAGAACTCATACAGGAATTCAGCAAAGTCTCAGGATATAAAATCAATGCACAGAAATCAGTTTCATTTCTATACATTAACAATGAGACAGAAGAAAGAGAAATTAAGGGAGTCGATCCCATTTACAATTGCACCAAAAACCGTAAGATACCTAGGAATAAACCTAACCAAAGAGACAAAGGATCCATACTCAGAAAACTATAGAACACTCATGAAAGATACTGAGGAAGACACAAATGGAAAAACATTCCATACTCATGGATTGGAAGAACAAATATTGTTAAGATGTCTGTGCTACCTAGAGCAATCTATACATTCAATGCAACCCCCATCAAATACCATCAACTTTTTTCACAGAGCTGGAACAAATAATCCTAAAATTTGTGTGGAACCAGAAAAGACCCTGAATAGCCAAAGGAATGTTGAAAAAGAAAATCAAAACTGGTGGCATCATAATTCCAGACTTCAAGCTCTATTACAAAACTGTAATCATCAAGACAGTATGTACTGGCACAAAAACAGACACATAGATCAATGGAACAGAACAGACAACCCAGAAATGGATCCTCAACTCTAAGAACTATGGTCAACTAATCTTCGACAAAGCAGGAAAGAATATCCAATGGAAAAAGTCTCTTCAACAAATAGTGTTGGGAAAATTGGACAGCCACATGCAGAAGAATGAAACTGGACCATTTCCTTACACCACACACAAAAATAGACTCAAAATGGATGAAAGACCTAAATGTGAGACAGGAATCCATCACAATCCTAGAGGAGAACACAGTCAGCAACCTCTGTGACCTCAGCCACAGCACCTTCCTGCTAGACACATCTCATGAGGCAAGGGAAACAAAGGCAAAAACGAACTATTGGGACTTTTATCAAGATAAAAGGCTTTTGCACAGCAAAGGAAACAGTCAACAAAACCAGAAGATAACTGACAGAATGGGAGAAGATACTTGCAAATGACATATCAGATAAAGGGCTAGTATCCAAAATCTATAAAGAACTTATCAAACTCAACACCCAGGGAACAAATAATCCAATCAAGAAATAAGCAGAAGACACAACAGACATTTCTTCAAAGAAGACATACAAATGGCCAACAGACACATGAAAAAATGTTCAACATCACTCAGCATCAGGGAAATCCAAATCAAAACCACAATGAGATACCACCTCACACCAGTCTGAATGGCTAAAATTTAACAAGTCAGGAAATAACAGATGTTGGTGAGGTTGTGGAGAAAGGGGAACCCTCTTAACACTGTTGGTGGGAATGCAAGCTGGTGCAGCCCTCTGGAAAACAGTATGGAAGTTCCTCAAAAGTTGAAAATAGAGCTACCCTATTACCCAGCAATTGCACTACTAGGTATTTACCCCAAAGATACAAATGTAGTGATCCTAAAGGGCACCTGCACCACAACATTTATAGCAGCAATGTCCACAATAGCCAGACTATGGAAAGAGCCCAGATGTCCATTGACAGATGAATGGATAAAGAAAATGTGTAATATATACAATGAAATAGTACCCGGCCATCAAAAAAAATGAAATCTTGCCATTTGCAACGATATGGATGGAACTAGAGGGTATTATGCTAAGCGAAATAAGTCAGTCAGAGAAAGACAATTATCATATGATCTCACTGATATGTGGAACTTAAGAAACAAAACAGAGGATCATAGGGGAAGGGAGGAAAAAATAAGATGAAATCAGAGAGGGAGACAAACCCTAAGAGATTCTTAATCATAGGAAACAAACTGAGGGTTGCTGGAGGGGAGGGCAGTGGGGGGATGGGGTAAGTGGGTGATGGACATTAAGGAGGGCACGGGATATAATGAGCCCTGGGTGTTACGTAAGACTAATGAATCACTGACTTCTGCTTCTGAAACTAATATGTTAATTAATTGAACTTAATAAATTGTAAAAAATCGCAAAGCATCTCTACTGAAATGAGACCATGAGAAGCAGGGTGTGTAAGAATGAATTCATTGCTCCTGCCACGTGCTGAGCACTCAGTAGAGAGATACCTGGTGTTACAGTGTGCTCTAAGCAAGACGTAGCCAAGCTGTCAAAAATGCACATGACTGAGTGAGAGACAGGGACGGTTTGGGGGTGAGGGGAGAGAAGCTTCCAACAATGCATGGTGGAATCAGAGAAGGCAGAAATACCTTCAGAGTGTCGGGGAGAGCTTTCGTGAGGAAAGGGTATTTTAACTGATCACAGCAACTGGAGCAGGCCTTTCCTGGCTTCAGGGGGCAGGGAGGTAGTGTGTACAGAGACCCCCGCAGAGAGAGGAACGTGGTGCGTTGGAGAATGTCTGGGGAATTGCAATAGGATATGGTATATTAATATGTCCATGTTTTTCTATGAGCTTTCCCTTCTGATATTTTCTTTTTCTTTCCTTTCTAGACTACCAGGTATGGAACACTGTGTCTCTCAAGTTGGCCACACCAGTAAAACAACCATTGTCCAATGCAGACACGGGTTGCTGCTCCACGGAAGGGTTTCTGTTGAGAAGATCCTTATTTGGGTTGATCTGTCTGGTTCATTAGTCCATAGATAGGAGGAGCCATGAGGATCAGGCATGCCTGGTGCCAACATCAAGCTGGCTCTGTAGGCCTTGGGGATGTGGCATGAACCAGGCTAGGTGTCGGGGGGGGCTCTTGCTCTGGCCTCGGAGAGTCCTCTCTGGGGTGGGAGTAGACCAGCATCAAGGGCCTGCTCAAATACAGTTTTGCCTTTTAGTCATAACCGCTTGGTACTTTTGGTCCTCCCCTCCTTCCTGTGGTCCCACTGTCTTGGCTAATAGGAAAGAGCTGCTCTGGTACCATTCCCTTTTTCCTGGACCCTAAACCTTATAAAATGATGGTGGAGAATGAGAAAAGGGGAAAAAATGCAAAGAAAACGAAGAGTGAAATAACACAATCACTGACGTGGCACTTTTTTGATAGACCGTATGCTTTCATGCATGGATCCTAAATTAGGAATTAGTCAATAGTTAGTAAGCCAGGATCTGTCCCCAACTTGATGATGAACAGTATTCCCAGTATTCCTGCTTTTATGCAGCAAGGATCTCATTTTGAAAAATGTATGGTGATTAAGATGACACATCTAGGGCACCTGGGTGGCTCAGTTGGTTAAGCGACTGCCTTCGGCTCAGGTCATGATCCTGGAGTCCCTGGATTGAGTCCCGCATCGGGCTCCCTGCTCGGCGGGGGGTCTGCTTCTCCCTCTGACCCTCTTCCCTCTCATGTGCTCTCTCATTCTCTCCCTCTCTCAAAATAAATAAATAAAATCTTTAAAAAAAAAAAAAAAAGACACATCTACAAAACAGTGAGGATTTGAGACCCAAACAGGGAATTTTGGGAGGCCACAGAGTTGTCCCCACAGCTCCAGGTGCTGTCGTGTGTTCCTCCTTAAACCAGCTTTTCTGTTGCAGACTCTCCCAGATGGCCACATGTCTGGGACGAGAATGGATCGAGGGGTGTCCATGCCCAACATGTTGGAACCAAAGGCAAGTGTAGCCATTCTCTGCTCTCACATGGGGACAGCAAACCGGGCATAATCCTGAAAAGATTTGGCTTTCTCTCTTTCCACCATTTTCAGTGTTGAGGCCTACTTGCTTCCAGGCTGATACATTAGACAAGCTGTGTCACAAAGTACCTGGACATTCACTGGTTTTGTCACACTGAGTCAACAGGTTTAAGTCTTCACAGGGTGTGGTACTGTGTGTTCGTAGTGAAGGACCAGCACACCTCTCCTATGAGCTTAGTACTCATTTGGCCCCTGCCATGAGCACCACGAGGCATGGCCAGTGCTAAGTGGGGTAGCTGCCAACCACTCGAGATAAGAGTGACCAAGACATCCCATTTGCCCAGGACTTTCCCAGTGTTAGCACTGGAAGTCTAGCATTCCGGAACCTCCTCAGTCCTGGGCAAACTGGGATGGTTGGTTACCCAAGCTCCAGACCATCCTGAAACTCCAGAGGTGTCCAAGGCTGTACTCCCTAGTGACCATAAATGGGGCTTACTTCAATGTCCTCCACCAGAACACTGCTTCTGGGTCAGCCTGGTTCCGTGAAATCATGAGCCAGTCGTGGAACAAGATTGTTGAACCCTGCAGAGGTCCCCTCGCCATATAAACTGTGTTCCTATCATTTCACTTCTAATTTTTACCTTTACCCCCGAGACATAATAAGTTTGTATTCTTTCACTCAACAAAGCCACAGGGCTACGTGAGACATGATGAGTTGAGAAAACATGCAAGAACTGGTCCCTGTCCACGGGATATATGAGGAACACCCATCACTCAGATACCGTAATTATAATGTCTTAGAAGCTCTGTCTTGGGAGTACTAGATTGTAGGGAGAATCTGCTTGTTGATAAAATGGACAGCAGTGTTCTAGAAGAGGTGTTTCTCTTTGCTTCTCAGATATTTCCATATGAAATGCTGATGGTGACCAACAGAGGGCGCAACAAAATCCTAAGAGATGTGGACAGAACCAGGCTGGAGGTAAACTAACTGACCAGTCCCAACCGCAGATACCTGTGCATTTCCCCCAACTTTCCCCTAAGAAATGTTTCAATGAAGGCAAAAAGAAAAAGAAAAGAATCAACCTCTCATGGTAGATAGAACTAAGATAACTCGGGATTGAAAACCCAAATAATATACACTTACGAGATCAGCCTAAATGTGTGGTGAAACCCAGAAGATGAGCCAGGAGACACGGTATGATTGAGTCATCTTCTGCGGAAGCCTGATGTTGCCGTAATTATGGCTGGTGTTGTAGAATGTAATCCCATCCCTTTTCAGATATCCCAGCACCTGGGTTGAGCTCGTTGAGAGAGGGAAGGACGTGCTCAGTAACGAGGTTTGCCCTGGACAAGTTTCCCTCTTGGCTCTTTCCGCATTGCTTGCTGAAGGGTTATCTGGGTGTACATGCCCAAGACCTCCTTAGACACACAAGGCTGATCATACTTTTCCACTTGAGTGATTTTAATTAAGAAAAACTCTGGCTGCCAGTCTTATAAAGAATCATTACTTTTCCCTGACAAAAGGCAGTACCTTTGTATGTGAAGTCAGTCTGGCACAGAGAATAAAGGCTCTGCTATCCTAAGGGAACTTTTTAGGAGGGACGACAGATGGAATCCATTCTCCTGGTAGACCAGGTGTCCAGCAGAACTGCTGCTGCTGAGCCAGGAGGAAGCCCCAGGGCTCCCCAGATTCCACTCTGGAAGTCTCTGTCTGGCTTTCTTAGTGCTATGGTCCATTTTCCCTGCATCTTCTCAACATCCCAAGGACCTGAAGTGGAGTTGCCTCCAGCATAACGACTCACCTTCCTATGTCCTATCACCATAGAGCATATGACAATGATCATTAATACTCTGCCAGCTCTTTTGTCTGCTGGGGAGGGTGCCTCACCTGGGCCAAGCAGGTAAGGAGCCAGTTGGTCCAGTGCTTGCTAACCAGCCTCAGAGGTAAACTCCTCTGCCATCATTCTGCCTTGCTCTTCAAAATGATCGCTTGTAGACTCAAGAACAAGTCTCAAGGCCATCCACGTGGCCATCAGGACTGACCACTATTCTTTCTCCCACCCACAGCGCCACTTAGCCCCAGAAGTGTTTCGGGAAATCTTTGGAATGTCCATACAGGAATTTGACAAGTTACCTCTTTGGAGACGCAACGACATGAAGAAGAAAGCGAAACTCTTCTAAGCCCGCCCCCCACATACCCCGCTGTGTAGACAGCAGTTAGGAAAAAGACTGATGTGGCGGCGACACATAGGATGTTGTGTTAAGGCCCAAACTTGATTGGAGAATTTGCAAACTACTGTCCCTCAGCAACAACAAAATGGGAAACCTGATTAAAACACCCATAAGCCAAATATTGGGCCAACCACTGGCAACACTTGCCAAGAAGTAACGGGGTTGAAATTTCTGTGTCCCCACTCGACAGTAGTGTTCACATGTGACCTTTTGACATCACCCTATGTACAACAGGAGCTACTTCTTTCATTTCCTTTCTTGTCTAACCAGAGTGCTGACTGTATGGGTAGGAGCCAGCAAGTGCCCTTAGGATGCCACGTGGAAAAAAGCAGTTGTAATCATTCCAAAGTAGGAATATATTTATTATGTAGCACCGTGGCTAAGAAGGAAGAGCCTGAGGGACATATCCATGTGGTCGCGCCACTTTGCACACCCCTGTCCTCACTGGCCCCATGAAGCCCGGCCTGGGCCCCAGCAGGATAGAAGTCAGAGTCAGGGAACTGAGCAGCTCTGAGTGAGTGGGCTGAATAGCAGCCAAGGTCATTTTTAACAAGCTCCTTTTTCTCTACTCTTTGCTAGGACCTGGTTGGCAAATTACTTAGCTATTACTTAAAAAAAAAAGAGAGAGAGAGGGAAAAGGAATGAAAGGAGTATCTCCCTTAATCCTTTTTCTGCGGTAAATTGTACGCTTCATTCTGCCTCCCCACCACTGCAGGCCCCCACTGCAAAGAAAGGAAAGGGAGAAATGATCTCCATTTGTGTGCTTTTAGATGATTTTTGTCCCAGGGCCACAGCACTCTTGGCAAGAAAAAAAAAAAAAAAGGAAGGGAGGAAAAGAAAGAAAGAGAGAAAGAAAAAGAAAAATTCTGTGTCCCGCCAATGCAAGTTCTTCTACCCTGCATCCTCTGCTTCTCATCCAGTGTCCTCTGAATCTGATCAAGCCCACATGGATTTTGGATTTTTTTTTTTTTTTTTGAGGTCTTTTCAGTAGTAGCCTAAGGAAAGGCACGCTTTGCTCTTGGAAATCTCTGCAACTCCAGGGTATATTGCCTCAGATTGGTTTAATTTGGCCTTTTCAGCTTTCCTTCTTGCCTAGCTCTGTTGACTTCACGGTGTGCGTGTGTAAGTGTGTGTAAGTGAACGCACCCAGCGTAGTTTGGGGAGTCCGCATGTTCTTTTATATTTCACCTCTGCTTGAATGTTTGTCCCACGGTGCTGCAGCTTCTGAGGGACGTTTGCACACGTGCGCATGACTCAGAGGTCAGGGTTGAGGCCACACCGCACCCGACGGCATCCTTCGTGGAAGGGTGTCCGTGTCAGGAGCCGGCATCCCCCGTGATTCAGGTTCTCAGGTCAGCAGCACGTGAAGAGCCCAGACGTCAGATCAGGCTGTACATGGACGCTGGAGTGTCACACCGGAGTCCGAAAATTCAGCAACACCAGATTGGAAGGGGAGCCTAGGATTTCACCGAAACTCGCGTGGGAGACCCCATCGTGATTCCCAGACGCCTCTGGCCGTGACCCCAATGAGCGATGAGGTGGACGAGGGAGGGTATCTCCATCCAGCTCCACACAGGGGTGGTTTTCACATTTATTCTCGTGCTTTGGGGGCTCTGCCTAGGAATTTAAACTCTGTTTTAAAGCCAGAGGGAAATCGTGTGAATTCTCTTCATATGCCGCTTCTAATTAAAGCTCAGAAATGCTTCCTGCTGCCACCACGTACTCGAATTCGTTAGTAGCCAATCTCCATGGTAAAAAGCAAGTAAAAATCGTTCTGGAGCCTCTGCTGCAGATCTCTAACTTGGGACCCACTCTGTCACCCGGCTGATATGATGGGCTCTCTGAGGGCTTTGTGCCTCTCCTGTGCTCTTCTCGAAGGGCTTGGAAATGGCCTGTCCTTCCAGTGCTGCACACTGGATGTTTGAGGACCGTTCTCACAAATACAAGCATGCATGTGTGCACGCACGTGTGCACGCGTGGATGTGTGTGTGTGGATGTGTGTTCACATCTAACGAAAGCTATTAGCACATAAAAATTCCAGTTGTTAATGCAGTCCAAGGCACAGGATTATTACTAACATATTTTGCAAATGATCCTGATGGAGCAGACGTGAGACGACCAGCTCCTCCTCAGGCTGAAGCCCCCAGATTGCAGCTTGCAGTTCGGTGCCTTCAGTGGCCTCTTGCTTTAATTCAGTATTTCTGCTGTTCCGTCTTCGCTCTGATCTCTCTGGCAGCGGCAGCCTCAGTATAATGCCTGCGTATCCTAGTCCTTGCTTTGCTCTGGCAAAGTGTGAGGAGTGGGGACCATGGTGCATTCCCAGTCATCAACAACGAGGATGGCCAGATGGGTCCCAGTGCTAGGCTGGTGGAGAGAATTTGTTCATTACAGGGATCATAAAGGACCCTCAGTGTTGTCGTTGGTTAATGAGTTATGATCCATGCACATGCCGAGCAAACGTCAGTGTGAGAAAAATTGCAATGATAGTTAAAGATCTGAACCCAAAACCTGCTCCCACCGGCGAAACTCTACTTTTCTCATCTCTTTTGAATTCAGTTCTGCATCCAACTTGGGGGTGGGGGATGGGAAGCTTCTTTCCATATCAAGTTTATTAGCTTGTTTAAAACTATACCGTGCAAAAAAAAAAAAAAAAAAAAAAATGCATTACCGGAAAATGTCAGTAGCCTCCTGTAGCAAGCAGCACGGTGCTATGCTCTGGGGAGGGGTCGTGGGAAACCATAATGTGGACTGGGTTCCCCGGCTCCACTCCCAGCAGAAGGCTCCAGCTGGAGGGATGGGCCATGGGGCAACCTGGTTCTCCCAACTGCCAAATCTAATATATGGCTACGATGGCCTATCCATTTTTTTTTCTTTAAACTGGACTCAGCATGCTTGTCCTCAAAATATCCAGGCCACTGTGCAGGAGATCGGGGTTCTCTGCTTGAACCCCACTCTGCACTGCACATAAAAATTCCAGTTGTTAATGCAGTCCAAGGCACAGGATTATTCACTCTAAGGGAGGACTTCTACACATGGCAAACTTTCCTGGTCCATACCCCAAGGGCTATATTTTTGAGCACTGGGCTTATTTGCGATTCTTTAAACACACAACACCTGCACGAAGCGAAAGAGGCCTCTGACAACGTGAAAGTCGGTGCTTCCTTTAAAGTTTCTCCCAGAAGAGCCAGGATACCATTTATTCTTCCCGTGTGGTTTAAGATGAGACCTAAAGAGCATTTGAGAACTTGGAGGGCCAACCATGCACCTATATTTCGGTTTGCGTTAGTTATGAAATGTCCTTAATGTGACTTCTTTGGTAACTAAAGATAAACTGCCTGTTCTCTGAAACCTCCAACAGAAAAGCCAGGGTTAATGGGTCATACGGTGCACATTCCCTCTGCCACTCTCATCCTCTCAATCCGGTGATGGCCGTCAACTCTACTTCGAGAAGTTTTGCTGGAAATGTTTATAAAACTTTCCCCTAATTTCTTTACACTTTAAAGCAAACACCTTTTTCTAAAGAATTGCTTCTCAGATGATTATATACAATATATATGCTTTTGCAAGTTAAAAAAAAAAATGGAATTAACCACTTTTGACTAGGTAGGTCTTTCTAAAAATTCTTTCAAAAAGCTTGGTGTTCGTGTTCTGTGCATTGAAGGGGCAGGCGAGCCCTCTCTCTGACTGTCAGGAAAGATGGTGGAAGGAAGTGAACTCTATGTAACACCCCCGCCCCCATGTTGTCTGAGGCAAGCTCAGTTGTTACAAATCACCTCTTCTGTATTACTGGTCACTGTTTAATCTACACTTCCTAGGCCAGCCTTGACCTGACTTGATCTTTAAAATTATTTTCTTTTGACAAACCAAGTGTTTGTGAGTAAACCCTACAACTCACTCATTAGTACTCCCTTTTGAAGAATGTTCTCTTCAGAAAAAGAGATTATTTCAGGCTTGAGATTTGCTGTGACACCATCTTATAGTGATAATGTACATTAAGGAAATTAGGCAAATATATAATGAAAGAAACTTTTACTTTGGTTTTAAAAAAAAAGACAAAATCACTCTTTCCATTTGCTGCTCAGGAAGCCATGAGGAGATGGTGATTGATATGCCCTGCATATGGACTTTTGTGTTTTTATTTGGGTGAGTTTAATTTATGGCAGACTCCAAAGGAAAGGGGGAAGTGGTCCGTTTCAGCTGAAAGAAATTTCTAAACAGTATATGTAAACACAGCAAAATTAAACAAATGCAACATTTTCTGATGGTTGGTGTAATGGACTGGCAATTGTTATCATGAAATAAAATTCTTCCCAAAAGTGTCTCTCTCAAGAGTAAAGATCCCACGAGTCACTTTCGGAGCCCATTCACCAAAGGTAGCGGAAGACAATACTGTACCCACTACCATTCAGCAAGGTGGTGAGCCACTTAATGATTGTATATGCCTGTCTTTCCTTACGCCATGGAAGAGAAAACAGTTGTCCACAATCTTGATGTTCCTTTTGGGTTCTGTGTACAGACCCGTCCAGTAATAAATGTGCGTGGCATCTGTGAGTTGCTGACAATCCAAATCTCTTGGAGTCCTTTCGTTTTAAGTTCAGTTTAGTGGAATTTTCTTGCAAGCGTCAGAAGACGTCCAGTCAGTTCTTCCTTCCCTCCCCTTTCAGACATATGAGTGTGAGTATTTGGAAGAACCGCTGTGTACAAGATGTGTCCTGTCCCCCGTGAAAGTGAGTGGGTGTCGGTCTGCGCCCCACAGACCACAGACCAGTGTGCAGAGGCAGGGGCGGCCGCTGGCCCCGCGTTGCCGTGCCTGACGGTCCCGACCTGCTCCGCGCTCCTGTTGCAGGCAGCACCCGCCGCTCCCCGCCCTGTCCTCTGCGTTGCTGTACACTCGCCACTCAGTGAATAAAGTGTGTGCTTTATTCTGTTGACAAACGCCTCCGCGTCGTGTTTCCTTGCTCGCTCCCCTGCACCTTTTATTTTTATTTATTTATTTATTTTAAAGATTTTATTTATTTATTCATGAGAGACAGAGAGAGAGAGAAGCAGAGGGAGAAGCAGGCTCCCAAGGAGCAGGGAGCCCAATGCGGGACTCGATCCCAGGATCCTGGGATCATGACCTGAGCCGAAGGCAGACGCTCAACCATCTGAGCCACCCAGGCGCCCCCCCCTGCACCTTTTAAAGGTCTGTCCCATTTCAAGAAGTACCGGTCCGACTTTCGATGACCAACACAAAACCAGAATCAAACCAGAGCCTTAGGAATGCATTTTTAGCACACAGGAAGGCTGTTGAGAAGGGGAAATACAACAAATTGCAATGGTATATTCCAGGACTGTTTGTCCAGTAATCCAGACCAAATTGACCAAGTTGACTAAAGTGAAAATACGTATTTTTTAGAGGGAGAGTGTGTGAGCAGGTGTGGGGAGGGGGGAGGGAGAGAGAATCTCAAGCAGACTCCCGGCTCACAGCTCTGAGATCACGACCTGAGCCGAAATCAATTGTCGGATGCCCAACCCACTGATCTACCCAGGCGGCCCTAAAGGGAAAATATTTAAAAGGAGCTACTGGGCTGTGCTGATCTACCTGGTGTGTGGTTTTGTGACTCAGAGCAGTGACAGTCTCATCATCTTGACAAGAAGGGGGAGTTGACGTTTGAGGACAGAGCTTCTGAACCACCGTGAGAGCAGGCCACTTACTAAGAAACTGCAGTATAGTGGTAGAAATACGTCTTTCAGAGTTTTGACCTCCCCTGCGTTATCAGACTTTAAGTGAGAAAGTCTTCTAGATTTTGATTTACACGTTATTCTCATTGCCACAATTTTGGGCCTGCTGGAAAATACAAGGATGTATTTAGACTCGAGACCATAGCCATTCTACTGCGTGTCTGTCAAGCCTGTTGTCTTAGTCAATTCAGGCTGCTATTAACAGACTTCCATGGACTGGGTGGCTGGAACGGCAAACATTCATTTCTTACAGTCCTGGAGGCTGGGAAGTCCAAGGTCAAGGTGATGGCAGATCTGGTGTGTGGGGAGAATGTGCTTAGGTTTGTAGATAGCTGTCTTCTGGTTGTGTCCTCACGTGGCAGAGAGGCAGCAAGCTCTTCTGTCTCTTCTAAGGATGCTAATCCCATCATGAGGGCTCCACCCTCATGATCTAATTACCAAAGTCCTTGCCTCCTAATGCCATCCCACTGGGGATTAGGATTTCAACAGATAAATTTGGGGGGCCAGGGGACACAAACATGCAATCCATAACACCTGTCCAGGGGCCAGTCACACTAGCATTCATGTGGACCCTCATCACAAAGCCAGAAACTGAGATTGTGCTCCAGACAGTTGGCACCTTAGTTTACTAGTGTAGAAAACAGGTCAGGAGGCCCAGCTAGAGGCCTGTGTTCTATTCACTTCTGTCCCCACCTGCGCCGGCATCACCACTCTGGGCTCTGATGACCACAGTCAGCGTTTACCTTCAGCCCTCTCTGGAGCTCTCTGTGGCTTTTGCCACTATGATCACCATTTCATTGAAAGCTGACCCCCTGTGTTAACTCCAATGGTTAGCCCTCGCACATAGCCAAGTTCACAGCCCGTGGCCCTCGCCTCGTCCACTGCTGTCCCTCCCACAATGCCCCACCTTTGAACCTTGCCCTCCAGCTCTTCCAAACCACTGCGAGTTTCCTGAACATACCATGCCCTCTCCCACCTCTGCAGCTTTGGCATGGCATTTCTCCCGTACAATGTCCAGTTCTTCAAGGAGCTGGAGAGCGGGAGGATCTGGCCCCAGGGACAGGAGGTAATGGCAACACTACTTGAAAGCAGTCATCCATAGCTCTTGGGAGTTACCCATGTGAATTTCCCATGGGCTCCGTTTGTCCTGAATCAAAGACAAGCCTGAGTTCACACCCTCTCTAAGAGCTTGCCTTGATGAGCCCAGCCCAACCTGCCCCAGGAAATTCTTTGCATGCCTATGGTTGAACATCACGTGGGACACTTTTCAAACGTTGCCTAGGACTGCTAGCTTTGCAGAACGGTGAACTGTGGTGCGGTCTCTACTGAGTGCCAGGCTTTATGTGAACCGTATTTCTCAGGGCAGCCCTCCAAGACAGGTCACTGTAGCCCTGCTATACAGGTGAAGAAACCAAAGCTCAGCGCCTATGAAATATGCCTGATCATCAACCAGTAAGCTGTAAAACTGGGATTACTGAGGCCTAACTTGAAATCCCATCCTGTTCTCCTCTGTGTCTCCATGACCTTCCAAAGGCAAGGACTGCCTCTCCCACATTCCCAGTCTCCTGGGGTGCGCTGCAGAGAGGAGGTTCTCCATGTGAGACTGGCCAGTGCCCTTCACTAGGCGGTGAGCCCCAACACAGCTGCTAAGGTGCTATTATGAGCAAGCTTGGGGGGTACTCACTAGCTCTGGGTCTTAGGCCAGTTATTTCGCCTCCCTAGGCCTCAACTTGTTCTACTGCAAAATGAACAAAATACTAAGACCCTTCAAAGGACTGTTGCTACATTTTAATTCATATTGAGCACCGCACGGTACCCAGGACATAGTAATTGCTCAAGAAACATCAGCGATCTTTATGAAGAGTAATCAGCCACTCAGACTTGAAGAACCCCATATTCTCTGAGCCTCAGTCTCCTTATCAGTAAATGAGGAGTGACTACCTGAGTTCTGGCTACATTCTAGGGTGCTTAGGCTGAAGGAAGCAAGGTGGAGTGCTCAGACACAGGAAAGTATTACATTGATAAGTGGTATGGGGCAATGAGGGTTTCTTGGTACTACTCTAAATAGTTTCACCATTCAAGAATTTTAGTTTTTGTTCTGGGCTTTTTCTCCCCCAGTCCTTTATAAATACTGCAGCATGAAACCAAGCCCACAACTTCTTTAATATGCTTTAATAACAGCCCACTCTTTGTCCAATAATACTCTAGGATTGAAATCCTCTGAAGATGGGCCAGTGAATAGTAATATCAGAAAGTATCACACAGCAGCTGAGTGCTGGCTATGGATGGGGTCAAACTGGCTGGGCTTGGGGTTCCAGGTCCACCAATAATTAGCTGGGTAATGACTAACGATTTGCTTAACTTCTCTAAGCCTTAATTTTCATTTCTATAAAAGAGGAGTAATAATAGCGACCTCGAAGGGTTATTGTGAGCTTCCTGTAGAACAGGGCCTGGCATCATACAAGATGAACAGTCAAGCATAATCTTTTATTAAAAAAAAAAAAGTCGCTGCCATGTAATAAGGAGCTATATGTGCCCAGCCCTGAGCTAGGTGTATCATGTGGTTTATTCCTTACAGCTCTTTACATTACCCCTCCACCAGCAGCCCCCAACTCCCCAGTTTCAAGTTCAGCATGTAGGCAAGTGTCATGCAGAGAAGGGCTCGGTTGCCCCCACGGGCACTGTGGCCAGCCAGGGTGGCAGGCTGCTCAAAATAGAAGCATCCCAAGGTGTCAGCTCGGGGCTCAGCTCCTCCCAACGGTTTTCGAAGCTGTTGGGCCCCAGTGCTTCCTGGGTCAGGAGGATTTCCCTAAACTACATGAGGAATGCTTTAGAAACAGCACCTGCAGAAGAACTGAGACTCTTTTTCATGAAAGATGGCTTTGCTTCCAGAAAGATCTTTCTGACTGTATTACTTCAAAACAACCAAGGCAGCAAAGGCTGAGCTGCCAGTCCTTACAGTATTTGGGCACATTTCCTCGGCTCCAGAAAGCCACCAGTCCTACTCAGCCCCTCCTGCCCAACGAGGGAAGGGGGTTCCTCCTCTCCGCAAGGCCAGCCCTGCCTGGGTGTGTCACCAGCCCTGCCCTGTTGGACTCACTCATTGTTGGCCGGAAAGCCCTGGGAAGGGTGGGGACTTGGCGCTGGAGAAAGCCCGGGGAGGTCAGAGGACTAGTGCCCAAAACTTCTGGGAATCCC